GGGCAAGATTCTCTTTCCTCTCGTTGTTTTGAAGTGCGTTGCCAAAACCTCAAGCATCTCCACTGAAGGCTCACATGTTCCTGTAATTTGTGCAGCGTTCATTCCTGAACAGATGCTTTATGGTGGCAATCCCTCGAAGAAAACCCCTTGAACCTCAAAGCTGGTAAGTTCAAAGCGAGCAAACAAAACCTCTCCAATTTTCCCAGTCTCTGCGTGATCTCCCTGTCTCCATACCTCTGTGTGACCTTCCCAGCAGCTTGCTTGCTAACTCTGGATGCTAATTTGTCACGTCTTGTGTCTTCCAGGTACCTTCTCAATCCTGGTTCTCGTTTTTGAGGCTTCCTGCATGCAGTGTAAATAAGTGCCTGGAAGCTCAGCCACCAGTGTGCCCATGCCACCCAAGCCTCATGCCATGGTGAGGTGTGCACCACTGCACCAAGGTGCTTCTGGCAGCAGCAGCTTCATGCATGTTCCTGAAGGGTTATAGAGGCAGCACTTCACCCCCAGCCAAAGGACAGCCAGCTCAGGACAGGGGGACCAGCACTGACTCTGGGGTGAGACATCCAGGCAGCAGGACACTCATGCTGGGAAGTGCCCAGGGAGCTGTGAGATGAGGGGAACCAGTACCAACCCCATCCCAAGCCCCACAAGAGCATCTGCCCTTTGGAGTTCCTGCAGCAGCATCTCTGCTGCCCCCATCTCCGCTGCCCCCATCTCCTGCTGATGTGGAGCGGTGCATGGAAAGCTGTGCTGCGGTGGTGACTGCGGTCCCTCTCGCCTTGGTGGGACAGGGCTGGGGGGATTTAGGGGTTTGCTTTGGAGGGAGCCTTGCACAGACAGGCTGAGCCAGAGGGACACTGTCGGGCTGGCAGTGCTGGCCTGTCACCTCCGCCTGTCTCACCATGAGTAGACATTCCCACTCGATGGAAATATGCCCGAAATAGCCCCTCCAGAGATTGTCTTTATCTAATCAGCCGCCTTCGCACTCGCCTCCAGTGCATTTCAGGGAGCTGATAACGGCGATATGTTAAGTGTGAAACCTCTAGCGAACTGCCCGACACGTAGAGTAATTCTCCTTCCTGCCACTTATCAGAGCCTGCTAATGGGAAACATTCCTCCCGGGGGTCGGGGAGCAGCCGGGGGATTTCTCCAGAGAGGATGGCTGAGGCCCTGGCACCCTCCTGGCTCTCCAGGGTTGCGTAGGAGCTGATCTGACCGCAAAAGGCTCATTGAAGGGGTAGCTCCACAGTCTGGTGCTGGTGATGTCCTGTCCCATGGGGAGAGGCTTGTGCAGCCCTTGGGGGCACGACTGAGGAGCCCCATCCTCTTCCATCATATCATGGGAGGCCAACGTCAAGCACAGAGCTACAGGGAGAGGAACAGGGGTGCCTCGGTGCAAGGGGAGATGCTCCCACTGCTGAGGATGGTCACGCAGGGCTGGTGGGACATTCGGGCAGATTGTTCACTTTGGGCAGTGGCCACCTAAAGCAAAGTCCCTTCTGCTCAGGCTAAAGCCGTGGGCTACTTGTTGTGCCTGTGGGGATTTGTGGGAGGTCCATAGGAGCCCTCTGCAGCCAGTGTCCCACTAAGGATGCCCCGTCACAGCTGTCTGAGCAGGGCACAGCTCAGGCCTTGCCAGCAATATGAGGATGAGCTTCCTACCACTCTGAAAACCACATCACAAAGACCAGCACCAAAAACACCCAAACCCAGCGGAAACGCACTTCAGCAGCTGCTGGAGCAACCATTCCACATTTCCCCTTCTACAGATCTGCTTGGCCTTTGATGGATCCTGCTGGAACCTCTTCAAAGAGGGAGAGAAACCAGGGCGAACAGAAGGAACTGCATAAGGAATCTCCGAAAATAAAATTGCTTTAAAGATAAGGCAGGGGAGGGGGTGAGCAGAGCACGGGGAGGGTACATGCCCTGAGAAGAATGTGTGAGCCTGGGCCAGCTGGTAGCTCTGGACTGAGAGCTCATCCCACTGCCGGGGCACTGGTGGCAAAGGTACTTGGCACCCGACCTGCCAAAGTCCTCCAGTCCCTCCAGGGTGTGGGTGGAAATCTGACTCAAGTCCAGGAAAGAGAGGCAAGAGACCACCAGGGTAACCTCAGAGGGACCTGTGGTCCACCAGCACCCGTGGCTCTTCAGGACACTGCAACTCTGCCATCTTAGCAAGGTTGAGCACCTCTGTCACACCAGGGTCAGGAGGGGTCTCAGCACCAGTGTCCCCCTGATGGTCTCTGCAGGGGAGCTGCAGTAGACAGATCCACGGAGTCCAGCTCCGCACCGGCTGCTGCCAAATCCCGATGAGGACCTCAGCTGCTGACCAGCAGCCTGGTGAGAGAGTGCCCACATGGGACATGGAGATGGGGGCTTGCACCCCATTTTATCCTGATGTGCTCAAAGTCACCCTGTCCATGTTGCAGACTCCCTTCCATGGGAGCATTTGAATTCAGGGGGAAGACTGGCACCACACAAAGCCCTTACATTGCATCCTCCAGCATCACCTTGGTGGGGTAATTTCTAATTTCCATGTCCCCAGGACACGACCACATGGCTGGGGAGCCAGAGGGACCCCCTGGCCAAGGATGGGGGATGCAGCCATCCGGATCATCTAAGAGGGCCAGATGCTGCCCCTCCCTGCCCGTGTATGTGGATCCCAGGTCAGCCAGCTCTAGTTAGGCTGATTTCCAGCTCTGGAGGCGGCTGCAGCTCGTTTCACATGAGCCTGCATTAAATCCAGGCAGCCCACGAATGTCCCTGCTCCCATTGTGGGTACAGGGTGGCTTTGTGTCCGGGAAGGAGCAGAGCAGCACTGCAGAGAGGACTGTCCATGTTCTCCGGGGGGCTGAGCAGTGGCAGTAGCCCCCCCTGGCGGGGGGTGCATGTCCCGGCTGCCATCACTGGGCTGCTCTGCAGGGCCCTTTGCCCTGGGGAAGGTATGTGCTGGTCCTGCCCTTGACAGCGGCACGTCCTGGCCTGGTGCCGGCAGGAGGGAGAGGGGATGTAAAAAAAAGCATCCAGCCCTGCTTTGCTTTTTAAATGCACCAAAGCAAAGCCAAAGAGAGGAGTGGAGCGCTTGGCGGGCGGGCATGAGGGTCCTTTGGGGAAGCAGCAACGTGGACAGTCCAGAGAGCAGAATCCTCAATGAACTTCAGATGCCAGCAACTAAAATGTCTTTTCCTTGAGCCTGGCACAGAAATCCCCGTGGCATGGGTGTGGGTCTGGCTGCCCCCCACCAGGTCCCATTCCCATCTCGGGCAGCCCGTGGTGGTGCTGCCGGGATGGAGGTGTGCTCCGGGCTGTGATGACCGTGTTGTACACAGTGTCTTTGGGTGCTGCTCGGGTAAAATGATGTGGAGGAAACCCAGCAGCCTCTCTGTAGAGAGATCTTTAATCTGGTCTACCCCTGAACCCAGCTCCCAAGCCAAGGTGAGCAGGCTCTGGGAGCAGGACACAGAGGGTTGCTGCTGGGCAGAGCTTGCCAAGGGCAGAGCCCGTCCATGACAGCGAGGCAGAGCAGGAGGCTCTAGCCCCCTGCCCAGCAGCGTGCCTGTCCTGAGGGACTGCTCATGGGCCACTACGGCTGCGGGGAACATCAGACCCCTCTGCCAAAACCGTTGAGTTTCACTTGCCTATAACCAGAAAAGCAAATTCTGGTGTTTGTGGTGGTTGGTGTTGAATGGGCAGTAGCTGGTGTGCCACGGGAAACAAGCTGAGCCCTTTGAGAAGAAGACGAAAGGGGAGCAGAGACCAAGCCCCGAGGTCCTCCTCCAGTGCCCACTCTGGCCAGGTAGGGACGGAACCAAAGCTGAGCAAGAGGTTGGGATGCTCCAGCTCAGAAAGCCAGTGGCTGCACACATCCTACCAGACATCGGCTCTCCTGGCGAGGTGCAGGGAAGAAGCAGGAGGACCGATTGCTCAGGTGCAGGAGGAAATGGCAAAGCTCTCGTTCCTCCGCTCCCTGCCGCAGCCAGCAGCGCGGGCAGGCGTGGAGAGCTGCGCTGCTCCGGGAGCCGGAGTCTCTGCCTTTGTACTCGCCTGACAATACAGGAATAAAAATAACCAGGCTGCATTTGCAGAGAGATAAAAGCGAAGTTTGCCTTTTGTGTCTCTCCGGGCAGTGGGACAGCAGCACCAATGGAGCTGTGTGGACATGACACATGGGAATTTCTGACATATCTTTTCCCACTCTGACCTTGACAGACACAATAAAAAGGGGCTTTGCTGCGCGCACACAGCCACTCAGTCCTACCGCCAAGGTTAGTAAGAAAGAGCATGTCTGTGTGCGCGCTTGTCCCCTGCTACTAACCCGCTTCACCGCTGCAGGGTGGATGTTCCCGGAGGACAGGGGCTGACTGGCGGTGCCGGGCAGGGTGGGACAGACCTGGATCAAGAGCGTTTTTGCTAAGGCTGGCGCACTTTGCCAACTTGCTGGCTACCAGCGGTGGCTACGTTCGTGATAGCTGTGGCGTTTCGGAGCTCGGCTGTGTGATGCCGTGTTAGATGGGTATTAGAAAGCGCTGGCATAAAAGTGCTTTTCCAAGCAGCTGTCACAGTGGTCTTCTAGAAGGGATCTTCCCAGGGATAATACCTCCAGCCTCGCTTTTATCTTCCTGCAATATTGCTCTGCAACATAGACCCGGGTCTTTGCAGCGGTTTTGTGCGGGTCTGTAGAACTGGGATAGTTCTTAGCTGAGTTTATCAGGAAAAGAGGTGTTGTTGATGATCTCTGATGACACCTAAAATGTGAATGTGGATTTTGACACCAAAGCAATGCTGGCTCACCCAGCTGGCACTTGAAGTGCGGGGCTGATAGCAGCAGAAGGGAAAGTGTTCAGTAATTGTCTTGTTATTATAGCTATTATTAGCTAGCATTGTTGTCACTGTCTTCTCACACTCTCTAAAATTAAAAGCGCGTTTGGTGACCATGTTGCTCTTGGTGGGTGCTTTCCCCATGTGCTGACTCCTTGCCCCTTCCCTCCTTTCAGCGTTCGGGTGTCTTTCACCGCTTCTTCGCTGCTGCCAAGTCTTCCTCCAGCCGTGCAAGATGTCTATGCTGGACATGAGCGAGTTTGGGGAGGCTGCTGAATACCTCCGGAAAAGCTACACGGAGCAGCTGAAGCTTCAGACAATCCCATTTGATGGTAAGACCCCGGGCAGCTCTCGGCACAGCCCCCTCTGTGTTCCCCAAGCCCCTTGGGCACAGCTCTCTTTGGCGAGCGTCCCCATCCCTTTCCCAGTGTGGTACCCGTGGTATTGCAGGCGCTGCAGAGTTACCTGCAACTCTCTGGAGGACAGGAAAACCTCAGAAGTAGGAAAGGAAGATTTTTGATTGTCCCCTTGTCTTCTGAGGTGCAGGAGGAGGTGGTCCTTCATCTCCCCTGACCCTGAGCAGCAGGAGGGCTAAGGGAAATGAAATGAGGGACTGGTGGCAAAGCGTTTTCCAGTTCTGTTTCATTCTGGAGGTATATAGAGCTTGCTCGCAGCCCTCGCACTGTGTCCCAGCCGTGCTGCTGTACCATGGCTTGCCAGGCTTGGGCTCACTCCTCTCAGCTTGCCAAACGAGGAGAGTTTTGCTTCCTGACATCGTCCTCTTTTCATGATGGTCTGAGTGCAAGCACACGTGAAGCAGCAGACTTCTGTCAGGCTAAAAGTTGACCCTGGCAAATTAAACAGCTGCCAGTCATGAAAAAGGCAAAGAAACCCTAGCTCCTGTGACCAAGAGCGTAGGAAGAAATAACCGCTGTCCTTCCATGTTATCGGACTGCGTTCATGTGGCTTTCAGCTGACAATTTAAAATGTTTTCCTGCATTTCAACCAGTTTTTTGTATTCCCTTCCCTTCCCTTTTTTTCCTTCTCCTCCTCCAGGAAAGAAGCGAGCTTGGATCCCGGATGAGAAAGAAGCTTATATTGAAGTGGAAATCAAAGAAAGCACTGGTGGCAAAGTCACTGTGGAAACCAAAAACAAGGAAGTAAGCAAAACACCTTTCATTTTCCAAGGGAGAGCAGGTGTGTGTGGAGGGGGGATATGTGTGACAAGATCACGTCTGAACCTCTTGCTGATAACCCTTCCACGCTCAGCACTCAGTCATGCCCCGAGGGGACACCCACCGCAGTGTGT